CTGAAAAGGCTACATACTTAGTTGCCTTTGCCCTGGCGGGGTGGTTGTGGCTGTTGAGCTCCCAGGACTTGCTTCCTTCAGCACAAGCAGCCTCAGGACTTCAGGGTGAAGCGGGTTGCGTTCTGGGCTGCACTCACTGCACCTGGACTGTGATCCACTGGAATCCTCAATTCCTTATAATAAATGTTAGACTCTGCTAGTGAGAATGCCCGAAACCCCAGTGCAGGGAAAGCAACCAAATCTACGTGGCAAGGTGAACCTGTTTCAGTTAGATTTGGACGTTTCAGTTGGTTTCAATTAATATTGTAGATCATAGTGAAATGGTAATTTCCATCTTTACTTTATGAGATTTATCATTGCCCTGACACATTTCATTGTTATTACATCTTTATCTGAGAAAAACAGTGTTTTGCTGTTGTTGAAGGGGAAATGTACTGAAATTTCCAGCATTGAGGGAAGTAAAAGAAATGGATTCCTTTTTTTTTTTTTTTTTTCCATTTTATTCTAAGTGAAAGCAAATGTGGCCAAACCAGAATTTCCTGTGGAATGGAAATGCTCATTTCATTACATACCTCGGACGTGTGGCTAGACCAAGTGGAGGTAAGGCAAGCCCTGCCAGCATGTGGCATGTGGTGACCTCAGCCTGTCCTGCTCTTCGGGATGGCTGTGTTGTTTTTTTGAGCTTCGGGGCCTTTCCTTCAGTGCTGACAGAAGCAGAGCCCTCCACAGTGACAGACAGAGAAAGGGTGTATGCTCACAAACCCAGAAGCCCGTCCTTACAGGTCTGATTTTGCTCAGAGTCAAATTAATTTCCCAAGAAATATGCTTGGGTAACCTCTCAGCAGTTGGTGCAGTGTCACCAGCTCGTGGCCTGCAGGCAGTGTAATGAGATGCTCCAAAGCTATTTGCAGTTTTGAGAAATGAAAGATTCAAAAACAAAGGTAGGGGACTTAGAGGAGGGGATGAGATGTGATGTGTTGTGCGTCTGCTCTATTTTGTGACCTGTGGGCTCCTAAAGGTTGAGTCCTACAGAACTAGGGAAGACAAATTTTCTTTGCATTGCTATATACTTCAGTGGAAGAAAGAGATGCCTTCTGCAATATGTGAAGCAGAAATATTACAGGAGTTACTAATGCTGATAAATAAGTGTTGAGTTTCAGATTGCAAAACCATCCCTATTAAAACACCTGCCTTTAAAATTTACAGAGCATTTAGGACAGGCTTTCTTTAAAAGGAGGATGTTGCAAACATCTCCTGGACTGTGTAAGGGAGTCAGGAGGCAATTTCCTCTCCCGGCTTCCTTGCGCCAGTGTGTGGGACTGATGCAGATTAGGAATTTGAAGGGGTGGGAAGAGCAGCCAGTGCAGCTCTGTGAAGCTACTGCTCCTTGCCTTGAGCAAGTGGACTGAGGGAGGAAGGATAGAGTAAGAAGTGCAGTAGACTCTGAATTGCCTCCTCCTCATCAATAAATCCCTTTCTTTGTGGGATGAGAGGGAGTTACAGGAATGAGCTCTGAGACTCTTGTCCATCTGAGACCGACTCCAGGGCATTCCAGCCTACTGCACAGTATCTCACCCACTGGCTGCTTTGAGCTCAAATGCGCTGGCCAAAGTCAGCATCATCAGAAGCTGAGCTTCCCAAGTCTGTGCTGCTTAGCTTCCATGAACTGGAGTTGCTAGCCTGCATGGTCCCTGAAAGACGCTGCTTTCAAGCTAGGCTGAACAGGGGGACAGGACCTTGCTGGTTCTGATCGTGGCAAGGTTGACCCAGCAAGAGATGGAGTGTAGAATTCCTCTCCTGTCTGTAAGTGACAACAGGAGGGCTGCTTGTGTCTGACTGTATGGTCAGTGGGGATCTCATCAATACAGGCAGCAGGGTAGGCAGCAGTTCAACTCATCCTGAAGGATAAATCCATGTTAGATCGTGTTCTTGACGCAGACCAATCTAGCCGTGTTTTGGCTGGCTACTCAGAATTAAGAGTCAGCAGAGATATCACTTATACCAAATGAGTATTTGGTCCATGTATTGCAGATTTTTCTGTGTCATGGTCTTTTTTGAAACTATATTAATTCTCCAACTGTTTTTGAGAGTCGAGGCCTCTTCCAGAAGAGTCCACTCTGTCATCACCACCACTTTAGTGCCCAGAACATCGTGGTGTTACATCAGTGCACAACTGCAGTGACTCAGTGATGCTTGTAACCAGTGAACTGCTCAAAATCTGATGCGAACTGGCCCAGCTTCACTGAATATCCTGTTGCTTTGGACCACTGATGTCTTTGCAGCTATCACATTGCCACTGTGAGCAGAAGTATTTCCAAACCTCAGACTTTTTCCTTCGCAGTATCATGAAGTTCATAAAATTCCTTTTCCCCTATATTTTTCAGACTACTGATCTGCTCCTAATCTTTTGCCTGCCTGTTCAAAAAAGTGTTAATCATCACTGTGTTACAACATACACCTTGCGTGTGGTGCAGAAACTGGTTGTGTAATTGTTCTTGATTCAGCGTGCCGCCCTTTAGAGTCTAATTTTAAAGTTTGTCATTTGCTACTTATCTCAGGGAAGTGTCTTACCCTGACCTGGATCCAGCAGGATCCCTTGCATAATTCCCTCTGTAAATATCTTGCATCTTTCCTGAGAACAACACCCTCTGAGCTCCCCATCCTCTGCTTGTGTCTCCTCTCTCACACTTGGGGGTAACACAACTTTAGGTCTCTAGATCCTCCTGAGAGACATGAGCTTTAAAAGCCACCAAATAGTCCTTCCGGTAAGCGGCAGTTAAGTGGGTACTGGGCAAGTCCAGTCTCAAGCTGAGAACGCTTTTTTACCTCATATTTTGGAGGTGTTTTATGTATCTTTTTCCTTCTTGAGGAAGACAGGAAAACACTGGGACCGAGAGAAGCCTTTTCTTGCAGACTAAAGTGAAGTCTAGGATAAATCGCTGCCCTAGTTGTCACTGGTAGATGTGGAAAGACTGGGATGTCTTTCCCAGTTCTTGCCTGTTTCACTTACTTGTGGCTACACTCTCTATCCTAAAGCCCATGGCTCTCCAGCTAGCATATTTGGATTGAGGTGTGAGTCCCTTTGTGGGAATGGGAGTACTGAAGATCAGAAGCAAGATGAGGAAGAAAATGCCAGCATATGCAAAAAGTTATTTTGCAGGGTTGCAGTTGGTGATCTCAGAAGAAAATCGTCTGAGACATGGCAGGAAACATTTACGAAAGGATGCTTCTAGATTAAAGTGCGGTAGTCTGAAGATTCGCTCATGTGCAGTTGATCAATAGCGTTTAAAAACCTTTAGTATGGTGTATATACCTCATTTTTTGGCCTGAGCACAAGCCAAAGCACCTCCAGGGACAAGAGAGATCTTTGCTATCCTTGTTCCTCCACGGTTACTGGGAGCTGGCTTGGCCTGTCTTGTAACTCCAAGTGGCTTGGGGGATGCATAAGCTAGTGGGGAAGCTTCAAACAGCTCAACGTAGGCAGAGCTTTAGGCTTCTCCTCTAGCAGGGTTCATCCTTTATCACTGTGGGGTAATTCTCTGCTGAGGTACAGAGGAATCGGAAGGCTGCCCAAAATGGGAGCCTTTGACACTTCCAGGTCTCAGCAGCGCTGTGTGCCAAGTTGTTAGCTTGCCTGAGGTACTGCAAACCTCCCACACCGAAGTGTCAGTATCTGCAGCTTGCAGTGAGCTCTGCTTGACCTAGAGCTCTGCTGCTGGGGCCTGAATGTCCTCTTCATGTCTGAGGACCAGTGCTGTTGTGCACACCCTTGGGCTGTGACCACCCCTGGCGAGGAAAGCTCAAGAAAGCCAGGAAACTTCTGTCATTTAAGGCTTCCTAAGTGATTGACCAACACAATCATACTGCCCATAACACTGTTGTTCCCTGATTTTTGGCCACTGCTATAATTAATAAATATCCTGCCACTGAAGTGCTGCCTCTATTTGGAGGGATTGGAGATAAAGCTGTGCCTGAACTTGAGTCATAGATCGTCTCAAGAGAGGTTGAACAGCAAGGTAATCAATTACCGCAAGCCTGTCCGCGGGCTTTGTATGTATCTGGCTCCTTCCCATAGTAGAAATAATAGCCACATCCTTTGCCAGATAATTTTGCAAATTATTATTTTAAATAACATGTTGCCGTGATCAAGTGAAAGAGCCTCAAGATTTATTAGAGTGTTTCTTGCCGAGAGGAAAAGCAGCAAGTGAACTCTGTGAGTAGGTGCTAAGTAGCACAGGACACATGAAAAACTGAAGTCTAATTGCTCAAGTCATACCTCTGTTTTCAGAAATGGGAAACAGGGACATACATCTCACCCCTTACTCCTGGCTGCCAGTACCATTGGTCACCAAACAGATGGCACTGGAGCTGCTCCGTAATGGCAGGAGGCAACGGCAGGGGAGTGGTGATAGATTGCTCCTCTCCCTTCCCTGGACAGATCTGCATGAACTTCTCAGCAAAGAAGGTCATCTGGTTCTGGTTGCATCGCCCTTATTGTAGGATAGGCTGATACAGAGTCCTGTTTAAATGGCCTGGCTTGAAACCAAAGCTTGCAGCTTTGAGCAGAGGTTGGTCCAACTAGATCTTGGAGAATATGCTTTTATGAGGTGCTTCAGGTTAGCCTGGCCATGTGTCCAATTTAAAAAAAAAAAAAAAGAATTAAGACATCATAAACCTTAGGATGTTTTGGTCATTTCTTATCTGTTTCCATCCATTTTGGTAAAAACATCTGCAGCTGCTTTGGGACTGACAAGTATCTTCTTACCAATAAATGGCCTGAATCTTTATTAAGTTCCCTTTTGTCAGTCTCTTAGGGCTGGGGGGCTTCCAGTGGGATTTGGGTAATGATGGCAGGATAGAATAAAGAAACCTCCATAAAACTGAGAATCAAGCTCTGGCTTGGGAGAAGAAAATAGCACATGCTAGTAGAAACGTGTGGCAACAAAAAACACTCCCACATCACGATAATGGTGTTTTCTTTCTTCTCGCTCTTCCTCCAGGTTACCTTGCACCCCGAAACCTTCCTAGCGCTGGCTTCTTCCCGTTCCTGCAAACCGTGCTGTGTGATTCAGATGCCAGATGTAAAGGCACACCGTACACACCAGAAGATCTCCTGCCAAGGCTTAGTGACATCTCATCCCTCAGACTGTAAGGGAATCTGAGCGATTCTGGGTGCTACCTGCTGTAGAGCAAGACTTGCTTTGATGCGGAGGGAGCAGCCACGCGTGAATGTTCCTCCAACAGAATAGAGTCAGATACTTGAATGCCTAGAAATGAGAATATGGGCTTTTTTTAAAAAAAATGTTTGTATTAAGGATAGCTATGGGCGATGTATCAGTTGCTTCAGGTTCTCTACTCTAAGAGGTTTTTATTCCCTGCACAAGATACCTTCTGATGAACCAGGCTTTTCAAGTTAGTTTGAAGATACATTTTTGCATGTCTGGAGTTCAGGTCTTCGGGAGTATCAGTCAGTAAAACTGTACTGAGCAGCCCAGAGTGCTGCACATGGCTATTGGTTCAATTTACTTTGGATAAAAGTGCCAAATGTTCCCAAGCCGCTCTTGCTTTGGAGAAGCATTTTTTGCTGGAGCGACTGCTCTTTTAGTAGTGTGTTCAAAGACCTGCCAAAATGGGGGGAAATGCCAACTTCTCTGCTAGAGAAGACATAACATATAGAGAAATGAAAATGAAGGGACAGTTTCTGCCCTCAAGAGCATGTAGGTTTGCATAGCAAAGCTGGTTGGGAATATTTTTTTGCTGGAATACTGTTTTGTTTTTTTTGAAATTGAAGTGTTGAGTGGACACATTTCAATCTCGGTGATGTTCCAGTGGAAACCAAGTAGCATTTACTCTGAGACGTGCCAGCAAGGGATGCTCCTGCCTCTTGGCTGCCTGACTCTGGCAGGCCACTAGGAAACATGGGCTGAGAAGTGTGCAGCTCTAAAACCTGGCTAGCTGCCAAGATCCACATCCAAGGTCCCAGCTTCCTGAGCCTGTGGTTGTAACTCCTAACAGGGCCTTCTCAGTCAGTGCAGAGGGGCTGATATTTCTTGGGGCATCTCAATGGTCAGTGACTCTCTGTTGGTTAGAAAGGATCTATATGAATAAACATGTGGATAACTAAATTTATGCAAACTGAAGGTCATGCAGCAAAAGAGGGCAGAGCCATACAGAAGCTGGATCCTTGGATTCCTAGCTCTTCAGTCACTTAGCATCATTGTTTTCCCAGGACAGGTTCAAAGGTGATTAATTTGGTTTGATTGAAGAAATGGGAACCTCTATTGCTAAAGTTGGGAATATTCCATAGGCTTCAGCTGTAAATCCTGCTTGCATTATGTTTTTGGTTTCCATACAACTGTTTAGTAAATAACTGCATTTTTTGCTGGTGGCTGAAAATCAAAGAGTTATTCTAAATTACAGCTCAAGTCACATGATTCATTAATAAGCATCTTGACCACTGTTGATAGAAGTTAGCTATGTAAACATCACACAGCTATGTGAGGCTACCTACACCTGCATGGCCAATGTTACTCTTAGAAATATATAGATTCCTAAAAGGAAAAGACACGCATTTAAGTAGCCAAGTCAAGCCTAGCAGGATTTGGCAGAGTATAAAACCTCAGCAGAAGATTGGCTGAGCAAGAGAAGGCTCCATAAGCCAATGTGAGTAGACTCAACCATCCCATGAGGGCAGAATCTGCCACAGTGAATTTGTCATGAAGGAAAAATTTTTAGCTATGACCCTTTATTGTCTGGAAATATTACTGTGTAAAACTCTAGAGTTTATAATATTCAACTAATAACCCAGAGTACTTTTTTTCCATTATGCAACTCACCTAAGCTCTAATAATAAATTTAAGTTAATAAATTTAATAAATTTAAGTTATTAAACAATTTTTTAACTTGCCCTAAAACTGTTTATTAGCAGTGGCAGGCAGAGAAAATGGGCAAGATTCTCATCTTTGGTCTTGTTCCCCAGAAACAGATGCTGAGGAGTACAAATCATGGCCATGTGAGATTTCCCTGGATAAGCACAAAAGTACAAAAACATAGCTCAAGACCAACATCTTCCACCCTTACTTTTCTGCTGACATGAAATATTAGGAAAGTAGGAAGTAAGATCCTGGTGTCTTGAAGGATTTCTCAGCACAGGCATGTAATCCTGTTATAACTTAGAGCTATCTCAGCTGTCTCTTGAGACTCAGGCCTGTCTGTTGAGCCAGAGCATCCTTAATAGTGTCACTATTTTTTTTCTGCTGCATATGTGTCAGTGGAAGACGGAGTATGACCTGATTCAATGAGGCCTTCTTTGCAGATCTGGAAATTAAGATTAGGCTATATATACATTTATCAAATGTCTCTGTCTCTGATAAGTTGAACATTTTGTCAGTGGAGCGGCTCAGGCATGAACATGGTCCCTTTCCTCTCTTTAGTGTCTGAGAGCACTTCTTCTAAAAGGCACCGCAGTCCTCTAGAAGAAATCAAACTTCTGCCCTACTCAAATGACCTGCCTTGAGTCATGCAATAACTAAGCATAAGCTTAATGATAAAAAACTCTTGAGTTTCTCTGCGTTATTCCAAGTCTTTTTTTTTTTTTCCCTTCTCCCTTTCCCTTTTCTTTTCCCCAGGAGGCGGAGATCTGCTAACGTGAGCAAGGACACTTCACCATGGAGTACTGACGTTCCTAAAAGCAAGAGCCCGTTGCTGGGTAGGTTGTCCAGTGCTGCATGCAGAAGGTTGATTTTTTAAAGGCTGATCTTTTGAAGCACTCCGGACAGCAGTGCAGTTCTTAGTGATTACCTGCATGACCGTGTCTGTAGCATTAGTCTAAATTCTTGTGAATAATTACAAGTAGCTGTCTGTGCAAAAGACTCAGAATTTGACCAAGAAACCAGGATTTAAATTGCTGTGCTTCACAGGAGAAGTGTATGATCACAGGCTGTTTGACATTAATTAAAGACCTGGCTATTTATGGAATATTGTCCTTTTATTGCCCACAAATTGTCCATAAACAGCTTATTATTTTTTTTCAAATTTATTTCTTACTCACAATTATCCAGCAAATAAGTCTTCTTCTGAGCCACAGTGGATATTTATTGGTGGCGGTGTTCTCTGTTGTGTTTCTGTTTCCTCACGGAACTTTCAAACTTCAATTTTGGGAAAATCATTACAGATATTATTTATTAATGGTGATGCCTAGTACTATCCGCAAGGCCTCAAGACAGATAGTCGTTTCTCGAGGGATCTCACAGTCAAATGAAGGGTTACACATCAGCATTCTGCAACTGTTCTGCCTCAGCCGTTCCCTCGCTCAATTAGCATCCCTGCCAGTGCAGTCACCCTTTAGTGTTTGGGTGAAGGGAAGAAGAGGAATGAAAAAATAATCACTAAACAGCTTTTGCAGAATGACTTTTTAGCTCATTTTCATGGATTTGGATGATCAGGAAGAAACTCGATTATGTTTCTTATTTTAAGGAGAAAAAAAACAGAGCTTCAGCTGGTGCGAACTGGCATAACTTTTGGTTTCAGCAGGCTGAGTTGTTTTGAGAGTGCGACTCAGTGCAAACGTTGGCTTTGGTGTGTGTCAGCTGGGGTCTTGGCAGCGCTGCCTGTGTGCATAGCGGGCAGCAGTTCTCAGTCTGTTCTGGAGCTGTTCCTGTGTAGCGAGTACCCCCCGGCGGTGCCAAGGGTGCCTGGAGAGCTCTGCCTTGCAGGGCTGCCATGTAAGCTGACATGGGCTTCCTTGAAAGACTGTTAATGTCTCCCTCTGCGTGGAAGAGTTGCAGGGATAGAGAAATTAAAATGTAACTGTAAGCAAATAGTTAAATGTTCCTGATTTTAAAAAGTTGCAGAAGGAAATAGTCCAATCCAGGATTTGATTACATAAGAAAAAGCCTTAAGTAGGTAATTACTGGATGCCATTGACTGCACCTTCGGAGACAGATTAATGATGGCATACACAAAGCTCTAGACTGTTCTTTATTCTGCATGTTGGTATGATATAGCAGAGATTAAAAGGCATTAAGTAAAATCTAGTATTTCAAAATATTATTACTGCAGCATTTAAGGATTTGGTACCTCATGGAGAAAGCACCATTTGGAATATTTCATCACCATCCAACTTGACTTCCAGCATCAACATGTTCAACAGAATTCTCCATTTTGGCAAGGTAACGTCTGTATTTGTGTAATAGCTGTGTCTGAACGTTTATGCATCATCACATTTAAAGAGTTAAAAGCCCAAAGTACCAACATGAACCTTTTGTAGCTTTAGGATCTCCCTTACAAATTCAAATGAATGTGCTTCATTTTGTGAAGAGGCAGATCATTATTGTAGGTGGGCTCTTAAGGGCCATGGTGAATTTATTATTCTCTCAGCAGAAACCAAATATACTGGATACCTTAGGACACAATACCATGAATGACCAAATGCTGACAGACTATACCCTGAGATATTTTGCTCAAAACTTCTGTATGAGTTAAGGCTGCAGGTTTTTCTAGAACATTTAGAGTGCCATTTCTCTCACATGAAATTGAAGAGGGCTGAAAAGCCCTAGAGGGCTGTGCTGCCCTCCAAAGGGACCTGAACAGACTGGATAACTGGGCAGTGAGAAATCTTAGGCAATTCAACAAAGACAAGTGCAAGGTCCTGCACTTAGGGAGGAATAACCCCAGACACCAGTACAGGCTGGGGACTGACCTTCTGGAGAGCAGCTCTGCAGAGAGGGACCTGGGCGTCGTGGTGGATGACAAGTTGACCATGAGGCAGCAGTGTGCCCTCGTGGCCAAGAAGGCCAATGGGATCCTGGGGTGCATTAAGAAGAGCATCTCCAGCAGGTCGAGGGAGGTGCTCCTGCCCCTCTACTCAGCCCTGGTGAGGCCGCATCTGGAGTACTGTGTCCAGTTCTGGGCTCCACAGTACAAGAGGGATGTGGAGCTGCTGGAGAGAGTCCAGCGCAGGGCCACAAGGATGATCAGGGGCCTGGAACATCTGCCCTATGAGGAGAGGCTGAGGGAGCTGGGCCTGTTCAGCCTGGAGAAGAGAAGACTGAGAGGGGACCTGGTCAGTGTCTATAAGTACCTCAAGGGAGGCAGCGAAGAGGATGGTGCTGGCCTCTTTTCACTGATGGCCACCGACAGAACTAGAGGAAACGGCCGGAAACTGAAGCATCCACAGGAATTTAAGGAAAAATTCTTTAGTAGTGAGGGTGACAGAGCACTGGAATAGGCTGCCCAGAGAGGTTGTGGAGTCTCCTTCTCTGGAGATCTTCAAACCCACTCGGACGCAGTCCTGTGCCACGTGCTCTAGGTGACCCTGCGTGTGCAGGGGGTTGGACTAGATGATCTCTAGAGGTCCCTTCCAACCTTAAGCATTCTATGATTCTATGATTCTGTGAAGACAGATGTTACAGGCTTTGCCATCAATTTCATTATTTGCGCACAATACTTGTGGAGTGGTATCAGAGTTGCCGTATGTTTATTGCATAGGTAATTGAATAATTGTAGGAGCAACTCCTTTTTATAACAAAAACTGGTATCATTTAATAGATATCAGTATGTTAGGAGCATTGCCATTAACGCGTATATTAACAAATATCTGAAATATGCTTATATTCCCATATTAATGCCTACAGTTACACACACATTTCCATTTATATATATGATTTCAATGGCATTGTTCACTTCTTAAAATTCTCTGTATGCATAGGTACTTGTAAGGATGATGTTTTTCAGGTGTCACTACTGTCCCTTAAAAATGTCTCATCGCTATATTTAAAACCATCCCAGAGTATTGCTTTAAAACTAGCATCTAACATTATATCTCACTTTTAGAGTCAGACACAATATTCAACGGCAGCAAATCTCAGAGTCATTTTGTGTGAGATCTTATCACGCTATACATTACATACTGGTCTCACCGAAGGGAAGATGGCAGCCAGTATCCACAGGACGTTCTGCTCTACCAACTTGTCTCTTTTAGAGTCATTCACCCAAGAGTTCAGAAATCAGCTCTCTCAGGTGAGTATCTAGGATCCAACATTGGCAGATATTGGCTGTGATGGTTCCCACACTTCATTGCAGATTTTTGGTGGTAGAACATGACCTGATATTACAAGGAATAACTCATTTCTATGCCTCAGTGCTTTTTATGCAGCATGAGGCTTAAGTAATTCGTGTGAATGGGATTAGCCCAAATACTTAGAATTGAGCAAACAGTTCTTGAGGAAAGTCAAGGACTGCTAGACATCAGCTAGTGTCCATTGAGGGTTCCTTGCTTTTTTTTTTTTTTTTTCCATTATTTGCCCTCCTGCAGTGACAAGTAGATAGAACAGTGTGAAAATATGGCATAAATAAAAATATTTAAAGGTAGGGGAGACGATAAATTTCCTCCTCTGTTACATCAGCCGTATAACTTCATCCAATAACTCCTGCATCTGATCCAACAATACTTGTCTTTGGGAAAGACAAGTATGTAATGTAATGTCTATGTAATTAAAGCAAATGGATCCTTTTTTTTTCCCAAAATGAGGATTGATACTCATTTTTCTTGTGTTTGCGGTCTTTAAATTGCTTGGGATGTTCTGAACCTTAGGGCTTTTCTATGCCAGGAGTTTATTTTACTGTCATCTAGAGTTTCAAAGTAAAGCATGGTCACTCTAACTATTATGGTCTGTCACTAGAGTCCTTTGAACCTATTGTCTGGCAGATTGGGTACAACTGCAGTGCATGCTGAAAAGCCTAGAAAGGCTCACTGGCAACAAGGATTCTTGTGCTTAAATAATTTCTTGCATTGTTATTTTTAAGGTGCGACTCAACCCTCAATACCAGGCAGTGTTTGTCAAAGAAATGGTCTCATTACTATTGCTCATCTCTCAAGTGCAGAATGACACCTCTTTGTGGCATCTTCTTCTGCTGGCCCCAGATATGTTTCAGGGCAGCATGCAGCAGCAAGACATATTTGATAACGTTCAGAATGCAAGCAGGTAAGAAGGTAGAAAATGCCAGGAGAGCACTGAAAGCCTGGTGGGTTTGCATGTTGAACACTGAACACAGGTCACATCTCATCAGCAAGAAGGACACTAGCTTAAAAGCATGGCTTGTTCTTGTTGGGTGGTACAGCTCCACACTACTGTATTTCTGAAGTTCTGTACAGTGAGTAGCATTTGGTCCTTCAGAGGCTCTTCTGTAACTCTTACAATGGGAAATGTCTGTGAACCTTGAGTTGTCTTCCAGGCTGCGTGGAGGCACTGTCGTGTGTGTGTGTGCAGACTGAGAGGCAGGTTGGCATATGGGGCTTTAAATATGGATGACTTTAAGAAGAAAATACCGGTTATATTCTTGCTCAGTAGTTATATGAAAAGCAGAGCTGGCTGAGCTCTGTGAACTGCATTAATTAACTGTGCTGAGATATTTGATGCTCTCTGCAGCTGGGACAATGAACACTCTCCTGCAGGGGTTAAGCCCTGTAAGCTCCCTTTCTTAGTACGTAGTTGGGTGAAGTTTGAGTTGCCTGGAAGATTGGGTGAATCTGTCATGAATAATCTATTGAATATGACTGAAACTGCTAGAAATTATTCTAGATAGTCCACTTGTTACAACACAGGGAGGAAACCAGACATCAGCTGAGTGTATTTTGCCTTTTTCTTCCCCTCAATAAAAGAAGGCCTTTACACGAGCAATTGGACAAAGATTCAAGAAGTGGTTGTAGAAACTTTGCCACTCTGATTACAGCCAGGCTTGGAGGACCTAATTTCTCAGGATTGGTGTGTTGCTAAGGCACTTTAAAACTGTTACTATCTAGGTAATTTGCCATCCTGCACTGAGAAAAATATTTGTGAGACTTGATGTTTTTATTCTTAAAATAAGTCAGTATCAATGTGGAAAGAATCTTGATTTTGTTCAAAGATGTTCTGTCCTTTCTAACATTTCAGTCACACTATTTGTCCATGTTCACTGGCTTGCAGAATCAAGCCTGAAACCCTACACTGTTTGACTGCCCAGGAAAGATTAATATTTACTCTGCTGCTATGCTTTGCTGTTCAGCTGCAGAGCTGGGCAAGTTCTCATAGGCACAACAAATAGCCACAGAGAATTTCATCACCAGAACTGCAGTGCTTTTTTGCCTAGCATGTGGCAGCGTAAACGCCTGAGTAAACAGTTATTGCAAAGAGATTGCACAAATAGTATTTTTAATGATGCTTGCAAAATCATGTCTTGGCTGACTGTGCCATGTCTTTCACACAGATAGCCCTGAACTCCTAAAGAAATACTGCGGAGGGATTTTTTGTAGTAGTACAACAAAGATGCAGAAGAAAATAACCTTTTGCTCACTGTGACATCTGTATTAACCATGTGATAACTGGCAAGACCATAGTGCAGTAGTGATTTTGAGGTCATGACTTCTACAAAATGTCTAGGAGCAGATTTTATTACTCATACATTAAGTTAAATGTGAAGAAGAGAGATGCCTAATGCTCTGTGGAAACAGGTGGTCTGTTTCCACAAATCACTATGTATTTATTCGAGCTGCTGAAATCAGCTCAGCTAGGTGCTTTGTGCATCATTTGCAGAGCTTCAGATAAGCAAGGGACTGTTTATTTCATGGTGACATCCTGTATCTACAGTGAAGAGCTACTCTTTATATGGGAGAAGCAAAAGGGACTAAGAATCACCATAACGTTTTCAATAACCTGCACATATTGAGCAGACATTCCTTTAAATGACTTCCTCTGTGATACAGTCAGCCAGATAATCAGCTTGTTCTTTTCTAAGATTGAAAAACATCCCTTGCCTCCCTCTCAAGAATCTGAACTTGGTAACAGCTATTTGTGATGGCTTCTTCTGTCCACAAATGTTGCCTCCTAAGGATCCCTACTCTCCCTGGAGCCTTCTCCACTCTTTCTGCTCTTGTTTCCGTAGGAGGGGGTGCAGCCCCAGCAGGATGGCACATCACCTGAGGGGTTTCTAAGCCCCATTCTCAGGATTTTAGCGGCACACAGGTTTTGCATGACCCTCTGAGTAACTACATTGCATGACTATAACATACCCATTTCTGCCAATGTTATCTCCATGGCTTTCCTTAGAGCCCTCTGTGTTTCTATTTTATGCACAGTCATACAAATAATTAAGAGTAGGGATAATTTCTTTTCTGTCAGATATTTTAAGAAGGATGTGCCGCACACCAGCTGTTTTCTATTTGAACACTTGTTTTATTTCCTCTCATAAACCTGGAACCACAATTTATTTTCATCTTTTTTTTTCTCTTAGTGTTTTGCTGGCAGTTCAAAATGTCTCTGAGTTGTTTGTGACTGAAGATAGATTCAGAACTGCTCAAGACGGGGTTGCAGATCCTCTATTTCCCCTGAACTGCTTGGAGCAAGGTAAGATTCCTCTACTTGGTCATATCTCTTCTGAAAACCTGTGGTGCCAAGGAGAAGCAAACTGCAAGGCAATAAGTAACCATACTGATTGCAGCCTGTTCAGGGCTGGGCATAATGAATTCTTTTAAATTTTAAGAAACGTGAATAAAATACCTCATTCCAAAAGCAGAAATAAAAAAGCATGGTTTTGTCCTTGGCTAATGCATTAATGTGAGCTTGAAATCTCAGTGGAAATGGGGAATGATACTTTTTATCTTCAGCTTTTTGTCAAAATCTGGTGAACTTACCTGATGGCCTCACAGTAGGGACTGAGGCTGCACAACAGGCTACGTATATCAAGGTTAGTTATTCTGCTAAACCCTCTCATAGCAAAGGCATGACCCTAAATATCCATCTCTAACCACAAAGGTGCAGCGTGTAAGGACAATAAGGACGGCCTTGCAAATGCCATCCACCCTACTTGTAGTTGAGTAGGGGTCGTGGAGGTCGGTGTGGATAAAAAGGAAGTATAAGGAGTGTAAGGAGTGGACAGACTGGGTAACTGGGTGGTGAGAAACCTTATGAAATTCAACAAGGGCAAGTGCAAGGTCCTGCACTTAGGGAAGATTAACCCCAGACACCAGTACAGGCTGGGGACCGACCTTCTGGAGAGCAGCTCTGCAGAAAAGGGCCTGGGTGTCATGGTGGACGACAAGTTGACCATGAGGCAGCAGTGTGCCCTCGTGGCCAAGAAAGCCAATGGGATCCTGGGGTGCATTGCAGGGCCACGAGGATGCTCAGGGGCCTGGAACATCTGGCCTATGAGGAAAGACTGAGAGAGCTGGGCCTGTTCAGCCTAGAGAAGAGAAGGCTGAGGGGGGACTTGGTCAGTGTCTATAAGTACCTCAAGGGATGAGTGAAGAGGATGGTGCTGGCCTCTCTTCAGTGCTGGCCGCTGATAGAGCTAGAGGAAATGACCACAAGCTGAAGCATCAAAGTTCCACAGGAACTTAAGGAAAAATTTCTTAACAGTGAGGGTGATGGAGCCCTGGCACAGGTTGCCCAGAGAGGTTGTGGAGTCTCCTTCTCTGGAGATCTTCCAAACCCGCTTGGACGCAGTCCTGTGCCACGTGCTCTAGGTGACACTGCATGTGCAGGGGGTTTGGACTAGATGACCTCTAGAAGTCCCTTCCAACCTTAACGATTCTATGGTTCTATGAGTGAAAATGTGCTAAGAGGCTAGTGAGAGGATTGGACATGTGGGAATATCAAGATATACTTTTACACTCAGAAGAATAGTCAAGTCTCTAACCTATGATTTTGTTTCCCATCATAGGAGCCTAACTTTGGGTATGCATACATTCATTGACAGTTTCACCATATCATTCTTTTCTGTTTCCAAACTGATATTCATATCTTTTTTATGTATCTTGTGTAGATAAAGAAAGAAGTTTGGTGACCAGAGAAATTTGTGATCTCTTTGTTAACTGGAAAGACAATGAGACTTTAGTATCTGATTTGAAGGAAGTTGTGAGGTAAGACACTGTGTGAAGGGATATTACTAAGAGTATAATTCAAGTCTGTGATCTTTATTCTAAATCACTTGTGCTAATTTTGTATTCTCTAAAATACTTATTTTTTCCACACAGAAAATTAAAGTTACAAGAGATTGGTGGAAAAGATTCCAAGAGCTCCATTAATTCAGATGTTTTAGAAGCCGTACAAAAGTCTCTGTATCGCTTAAAAGGCTTTGAAGAAAAAATGAATAGAAGTGAATTAGAAAGCTTAAACGTATTCATAAATTTAAAGAATGAAACATTACAGAAACTGTATGCAATTCTTGAACTGGGAATGAATCCACGTCATGATTATAAATTCAAAGAACCATATAATAAGGAAATAATTGATGAAATCTATAAGTTCACATCGCTGCAATTACTAAGCAACTTTAATGGGACTTCCATTTTCAATACAATGGCACAATGGAAAGAAATTCAGAGTGCTTTAAAATTAGCAGCTATGATTTGGAATCCAGATTTGTTAAATAATTCTAATTTTAGTACAGAACAAACTAAGGATACTCTCAAAATGTTACTCTACACTAACATGCCATCATTTATGGAAGACTTAAGAGACCGTTTAAATAAAATACAAGAAATATCTTCCTTGTTTTCTGACTATTTGCTTAAACCAGTCTCCTACAAAGACTTTCCAGACCAGCTCCTAGCTCTCCAGAAGATGTTTTTTATAATGACAAATACAAACATAGGTTACCAGTACCTGCTGGTGCCTGTGTTTGAACTGATGCGGAGAGTAGAAAGCTCCATGGGTGAAGCCCGGTGGCATGAGCTGAATGTCTATTGGCGCATGGGGGAAAAACTAAGGTCAATGAAGTGGAATATCACAGGCATCGTAGCTTACCAGCAATTTTTAGATATATTAAACACCCATTTGCATAAACTGAATAATAATTCAAATAACTTCTTCAGTGAAGAAATAGATCGACTCTCAGAATTTGTAACAACTGTGTTTAAAGAGTTTGGGGAAGACTCTGAAGCAGCCAATATCTCACTGGTCACTCAAGCCGTACAAAAGACCTTGTATGTGTTAAAAGACTTGCAGCTGCATTATAATATCAGCAAGTTAAAATATATAGATCTGTTCTTTAATTATAACAATAAAACCTTTGACAGCTTGTCTGAACTACTGAGGTTAGGAATTAAAATCCTTCATTATACAACTACAGGTGATGCTTTCAGTGAAGGAAAAGTTGAACCTGTGTATAATTTAACACGTGTTCTACTGCAAGAGTTCAATGAGTTTATCTTACAGCACAATACTTCATTAGAGGCAAAAATATGGGACTTCTTGCATTCAGCCTTGATTCCATTCTTTGGTAATAACAGCAATTATAAGATGCCCCAGAACTGCTCTGCTCAAGACATTCTCCACATAACACTGGAGATGCTGTTTGAAAACGCCACGCTAAGCGAGTCACTAGCCAGGAGCCCCTGCGAAGGCCTCTTTGCTGCCATGGATGTGGAGAGGGGCGCAGTACCCAATGCAACCTTTACAAAGATGTTTCAACTTGCCATAATGAACTTGAAGCTGTCTCCGGAGTTTGATGTTGTCTACAAGCCCAACCGGGAACGTTTTTCCAAGGAGCTGTCATGCATCGTGCAGTCTTTGCAATTTTCCCTGAGCTTCCTCTCGAGCTTAGACCTTGTCTCTGAGCAACATTCCTCTTGGATGCAGCAGAAGACCAAGGCTCTGACTGCTGTTGCGGAGGGGCTGCTGTTGAGTAATGCATCCTGCCCTGCCCCGGTGCTGCAGGATGTGGGTGGTGTGCTCCCATCCCAGCTTTTGAACATTCTCATTCCTTTTATGCTAAACGAAACAGGCTTAAATTCTCTAAGTTTCTCAGGCAGCCCAGCAGACTGGCATAAGCTGCCTCTGTTTTCCCATCTGTTGCCGAGTTTTTCCATTTGGAACAGTAGTATATATGAACTGCTGCAGATGCCTGGAAATGCTTCCGACCTGTCTGAATGGAGACATTTCTCCCAGCTGTGGAACGCCACTGGCAATGTGTTGACCACCAAATGGAACTTAACAGAAGTGGATGAATATGTGAAACTCCTGGAAGTTATGAAAAAAGCTCTAATTCTTGTCGACATTGGGGTAGATCCCAGAAAAACAGAAGTATTTCAAATTCTTCATAATACTAGCGGAGTAATGAAATCATCCAATCCGAAGGATTTGTATAGTTCCCTAAAACTCCTTTTCAATTTAACTTTTGCTGCAAACAGCACGGTGGAGTTAGAAAGAATATTTCAAGAAATTACCCCACTGTATGAGATAGCTGGTGAAAGACCGTTCTATCCTAATCGCCATGGGAAAGAAAATCAGGATGTTCTAACTATGGCTGTAACAATTTGGAATCACATCATTTTAAATAGGACTCATTTTAATACAGAGAAAGCATGGGAGATTATTAAAATGATAGCACTTCATGCAGTCCCTCTTGAAGACCTAGAGGATTATCTCGGCACAAATGAAGAAGTGTCGTTGTCGTTTTCTGATTTTTTGCAGACCCCTGTAACTTCTGAAAACTTTGCAGAACATCTCTTGGCCCTTGAAGAGCTTCTTGCTGCCCCTGCAAAGGTGAATACCAGCAGTCACTATCTGCTGATCTCTTCTTTGTCTAAACTAATGCAGAGACTTCAGGGCTCTTCTCACGGAAGCCAAGGAAATGAACTTCATCATTTGGGGCAGATTACTGCAATACTCCAGTCCATGAACATGGACAGCATGGACAGTCTTACCTCCCAGTTGCTTCTAAACATACTGCAAAATCAGTTTAAAATCATGAAAAATGATTCCAGTCTTCCTTTCAGTAGAGAAATGAAGCAGCTGATAAACTTTCTATCTGCCATATTTGAGGTGTATGCTGAAGAGGATTCCAGAGGCGCCAACATCTCCACATATTCACAAGCTCTACAAAAGGGTATACTCTTTTTAAAGGAATTGCAGAAAGGTTATAATATCAGTGAGCTTGAAAATATCAGTGCATTATTTGATTCTTATAGTAAATATGCCCAGAGAATGTTTGAAATGGGGAGAGTAGGAATGAAAATTCTTCATGATACCAACTTAAACAAAACACTGGAAGAAAAAATGAGCATGATCTATCATTTTTCAAATTGGCTACTGCAGAAGGAATTCAGTGAGTCTTTGCAGCACAGTGCTTCATTAGAAGGAAAAGTGGTGGATGTCTTGTTTTTAGCTCTGAGTCCTTTCCTCAGGGATAGTGACAGCAATTATAAGATGCCCCGGAACTGCTCTGCTCAAGACATTCTCCACATAACACTGGAGATGCTGTTTGAAAATGCCCCGCTAAGCGAGTCACTAGCCAGGAGCCCCTGCGAAGGCCTCTTTGCTGCCATGGATGTGGAGAGTGGAGCAGTACCCAATGCAACCTTTACAAAGATGTTTCAACTTGCCATAATGAACTTGAAGCTGTCTCCGGAGTTTGATGTTGTCTACAAGCACAACCGGGAACGTTTTTCCAAGGAGCTGTCGTGCATCGTGCAGTCTTTGCAATTTTCCCTGAGCTTCCTCTCGAGCTTAGACCTTGTCTCTGAGCAACATTCCTCTTGGATGCAGCAGAAGACCAAGGCTCTGACTGCTGTTGCGGAGGGGCTGCTGTTGAGTAATGCATCCTGCCCTGCCCCGGTGCTGCAGGATGTGGGTGGTGTGCTCCCATCCCAGCTTTTGAACATTCTCATTCCTTTTATGCTAAACGAAACAGGCTTGAATTCTCTAAGTTTCTCAGGCAGCCCAGCAGACTGGGGTAACTTCTCTGCACTCTTCAGAAAGGCTCAGAATGAACTCCTGAGGCTCCAGGTTGCCTTCAACCTCACTGAGTGGAGTTACTCCACACGCCTTTGGGATGTGGTTGACAGTGTGCTAAACACCAAATGGAATCTAACAGAAGTGGCTGCCTACGTGAAGTTGTTGGAAGCAATGACCCACAGTCCTGCCAGTAATGCATCAGCTCTAGAAATCATGGAAGCCAGTCGTTCCATTCTCAAGAGACTGAACTCCTCTGAGCTGCTAAATGAATTGAATATAGGCTCCAGCTCAGCTTCCCTCTCCAACAAAACTGGTTTTGACAGTGTGATGAACATTGTTGCCCATCACTTCCTTGCTAGAGCAGAAACCCTGTTCAACAAGACCCTACCTTGGACTCAGAGTGACCAAATCCTGTCTCCAGCCAGTCTGATCACACGGTGAGCTTTTTTTTTTTGGATATCGTAACTGCTATTATGGGCAGTGATCACGTCCTCTGGCAGGAAGAGTATTTTAGTTTCTTTCATTAGAGCATCTTTAGCCTGAAATCTACCACTGTAATTTAAGAATCCAGGTCTAGCCATTTAGGTTTGAGGCAACGGACAAGAAAGTTATCTTTGAAGCCACTGAATGGAATTGGCATCTGAAAATGAGACTTTCAAAAATGCTCAATGTTGGTCTGTCTGGGTTCACAGTGGGAGCAGGGTCCCTCAGGAATATGCCTACTGAAAGCTGGGTTACATCAGTGGTAAGCTCTTCGGAATAACCTTTCTTTGTGGTGTCACTCCTTAGTTTTTTTCCTCAGACTCCCCCTGCCATGGCTTCCCAACTGTATCTCTCATCTAAAGTTAAATCTTTCAAGCATTTTTTTTTTATCCGTATGGTTTGAAAGTGAATGGGAGCCAGGGTGATAACAGAGAAATTGATGAAATAAAATTGGGAGAATACCCACTTAGGAAATGTCATGAGATGCATGGCTTTATCTGGAACTTTTATTTACAACTGCCAAGGAGCAGCATCTATGCAGCTGACAGGTCACACAGTAATATGCCACTTTCTGAAAGAGAAACTCATTTGAACTCTGACTTATTTTTCAGATTTCTGTTTTTAGAATTTGAAAACACCATCTTACAGATGACAGTGAATAGCAGCTACAATCCTTACCTGATGTGTTTAATAAATGCCATCGAAACTGAAGACAGCAATTTGACAGGTAATCATGATTTCATTAATGTAGTGGCACCTCAGCTGGAGTACGGTTGTGCCTGTCTGAATTTCGAAGTGTTTTGTCTAATGATGGGAAAGAAGCCACAGACTTTTACCTGCTGGCAATTAACTGGGGCTATGAGGCCTCAGGAAGGCTCCCTTTTGTTTGAGTTATGTCACATTATAGGTATAAATTTTCTTCCCAGCTGTATCCAAAAAACATGTGTATTCTTTGCTAAGTGATCACAGTTTGCTGACACTCAGATAAAGAATCTTTAAAGATAGAAACCTGTATTCCCTTCACAGCTTTATATACCCTTAAGATGGCAGCAGTTATTTTGAGAGTTAACATATTTCACATAGGTATTAATTGTATATGGTTATTGTAAAACCTGAGAAGTTTATCTGCTCACAGAGAAAACCGAATGTGTCTGAAGGGTCAGATGTAGTCACAAGTCCTGTTTTCAGTGTGAGGTAGATTTCTTAATGAGAGCAGAACAACTGCTTGGACTGGATCAGAAGCTTACAGTTCAGGTGCCCAAGTGTGATTTTACTGCGTCTAGAGCCAGGTTAATTTAGTGGAAAATAAATATGCTGGTAGGCTTCAAAGATAAAGTATAGTTATTGCCATGTGTAAAGTTTCTGTAAGTCTGGTGGATTTCATCTAAAGTAACTTCTTTTACCTCCCACAGAAAGCATCACACTGCTTTTGAAGAAAACTCATCTGAAAAATGACCCTTTCATGGAAAATAATACTTCTGAGAAACATTCATCCATACCAGAGCTCCTGAAGCTGAAAGTGAGTCTGCTTAAAATGCTAACTTGAAGGACATCCCACAGCGATACACAAATACATAGCGGAGGTCTTGGAGGAGAAGAAAAAAAGAAAAGGCATATGTAAAAAAAATATTTTAGAAAAACAGCTCATAAAAGGCAGGATTAAAAATGTTTTGTGTGTGCTGCCTGTACTTAAAAGTTGCCACTAACCTGGGCTGAGAAACTTGTCTCTTCTACCAGCCCCTATACACTGTGTACCCAGGTTTCATGGAAGATGATGGTATTCCTGTCCCACCAGCCTGTTTTATAGAATAACTTCTATTTTCTATTAGACGGCCCAAAAGCAAGATCACTGTTCACATTGCCAGTGACAGCATGTTCCTCATAAATCAGTATACCAGTATTTTAAAGGTTCAGAAGGTTTAGACTTAGCAAAACACTGTGCAGAACTGAAATTGATAGTACCAATTCCTAGCTGGCTCAGCTTTGTTTGAGAAATATGTAGGGGGGGAAGTTTTCAAAAGCACAAACAGCAGTTAGATACCTCTGACCTCTTGAAATTGGTGGAAGTAGCAGTACCACTACTTTAGGTCTTCTTATGCTATGGAGCTACACCCAATGCAGCATGGTCAGAGACCACGTTCCTGTGCGTGTTCCTTTAGCACTAGTTGTCTCAAAATACTATAACAGTTTATGAGATTAAGCATCTAGTGATTCAGTGATTTTTCTTATCATCTTAGGATTTAGCACTGTTGCACTTGGATAAAAGGCTGCTTACACCATTCCTATGTATATAGTGTGTGTATATGTAGTCCCGTAGTATTCTTCTTTTGTTCAGACCCTTTTTATTTATTTTAAGGCATTGATATTCCCCACTGTTGCTGCTTAATATTTCCACAGTAATAACATGAGTCTTGATGTGACATCTATTCATTCACAGGCACAAAACAAAAGACTGTTCTTGCCATAAGAGACAGATAATTTAAATAGTGATGACAGATAAGAGGGAAGCCCAGGGTATGAAGAGTAGGCAAAGCATTGCTGTTTTACAAAGCAGGTTCCCAGAGGTGGAAGTCATGACTTCTAGCCAACTCCTTTTCAACTGCCCTAGGAGGGAAAGCCATATGGTGTCCAAAAGGCTGAATCTCTTGCACAAGATGTATTTGTTTGGTTTATGGGAAGATTAATTGGTCAACAGGTGAGTCCGAGTTGGGTATTGTGTTTGTATGTTGGACAAAGGCAATGGGTACGGTAAGGCTTGCAAGGTTTGTTATATCCTGTTCAATGTTATGTAGCCAGGTCTGCTACAAACACATGTAGGAATGGGACTTGTGAACTATTCTATCTGAGACCTTCTGAATAAGGTATCATATAAAAATATTTAATCCTAAAGAAAAAACGCAAAGGAACAGCTATTTTTTTAAGCGTGACCTGTATAATTCTGTCACCTGACTGGTGTCTGTTCATTTCTCTTCCTTTTCAAAAATTCATTTAAAGATATCTGGCCTCCGGGATCTCACGAGACTTCTTTGTGACTACGAGAGTTTTAAGTCAATACAACGTATTTGCCATCTCCCTAATGTTAGCTTTGGAGAACTGTGTGAGCAGAGTCAATCTCATGAGCAGCTCCTCCGCACTATTGAACTAAGCAATCAATTTGTGACCAATGTACTGAATCACAGAAGAGTCTCCCAAGAACTTCAAGATATTCTAATTGGGGATGCCACAAACATCCAGTCACAAGTGAAGTGGTGAGGTTCTCTTTCTGAGTTATGATTCCATAATGCTCTGTTTATGAAATGATCGAATGGCTTCTTGTCTTCTTTTAATATTTCCCATTTTACTTCTTGTTTGCTGGCTTTTCTTTTCCCCCAATTTAGGTTTCAAGAAAATGTACCAGAAATTGCTTTCTTTCAAGAGATTCCTCAGTATATGACTACTTTGGATTCCATGTTGAACATCACTGAGAATTTAAGAGATACTAGTGAGCAAGGTAATTTCCCATATTTAGTTTATAATGTTGGTTTGTGAACATCATCAGTGATATAATTTCTGCTACTAGCAATCCTATGACTTATTTAACTGTCAGGAGGAAATGGTCTTAATGAAATAAGTATACACTGTTTCCTTGAGATCCTATATCTAGGATAATTCTAGAACCAGTTTCAGACTGCCCCTCATAATTCATAATTTCATAATAGTTTTTTTCATTGCTCCGAAAAGCCTTGCATGCTGAAAGGCCCAAATCTCTGATTTGGGTAAAGGATGTAAATGCTGGACATGACTTCCAGTGAAAAAGCTTGCAGGAGACAGTGTTTTACACTAGGTTTTACAGTCAAGTTGTCCTCTGTGAACTGAAGCTGACTGGTCTTGGCGTAGTAGGAGCCTTGTCCCTGGGTATAACATTAAGCAAAATTTGCCTAAATCCAAAGTCCTCTGTGCCTGAGATTGCTATATGTCTGGAGAGAGCTGTAATATAAATTATTTTGTTTGTTTGTTTGCTTGCTTTACAGAAAAGCTGAGAGAGATGTTTAAAAATGTGGACCAGCTCAAAGAGGATCTCAGAAACACAACAGGAATGTCCATAGCCAGCATTGATGCTCTCCTGGAAGCATCTCTTCCAGAAAACATGACTCAGGTTTTCATTCACTGTTATTCTGGTGGGAGATCCTCTTGGTTTTGCTTCTCAGACTGTTAAATCCATGATTTACTGGTGAATGCAGCTGAGCAGATCACTGAACACATGACAGCAGAGACATATACGATCCCACAGAGATAGGCAGTGTTACAGATCAAAATATTACAGATCAAGATGTTGCAGATCAGAAGGGTCTGTCAGGCGTGAGGTAGGGGAAGTCACTAATGTCAGTTTAGCTGCTGGAGACCGAGAGCCACATAGTCTCTTTGGCTGTCACCAGGAGCTGGTAAGCAGCCCCAGACTGGTTGGTGAGTGATTGCTCAGCTCTGTAACAAGGGCACAGTTTGCTGTAACAGAGTGTGGAGGACTGCGTGTAGGGTCCTCAGTGCTGAGGAGTTGTTGCAATCCAGACGGGAAAGCACAATTCTAACCAGGATTTGTGAGAACAGTCTGGGATCCAAAAATAGCTCCCCAAGGAGGGAACAGATTTCTGAAATGAGAGTTTAACTTGCCTGTCTCGACCTCTTGTGCAAGCAGAGCTCCAGATGCTTTGCCCCTTCCCAAATACCTAGTCTGGACTGAGACCCAAGCAGCACACGCTTTTCCAAACACTGCAATGCATCAGTCAATAGGAAATTGAAGCCATGAAAGCCTTTACTACTGTGCAAGTTGGCATTAAAGCACAATCCTTAAGATTCACTCTTTGAAGCAGGGAGTAATGGGGAGATATTTTAAAGTTCTCAGGGCTGAAATATGATATTGCAGAAAGAGCAAAAACAAGGCAAGATAAATCCATGCATACTGAAGCAGTCTAGCTGCTAACAAATCTTTTCTTCATTTTCTTCCATAGCTCGTTTCTCAGATCCTCCAGCTAGAGTCTTGTACTGTCCATCCCGCTGAACCACAGCTGCAAAGAGTAGCAGAGGAGTTCTGCAATCACTCTCTTTCAGAGAGGACTCGTAAGATGTACATCCTGGGAGTCACTCTCTTACGACATTTAGACATTTACAATTTCCTATACAAGGTTAGTGCTGGCCTTGTAGAGCACTTTCTGTAGTCCTTGCTGCATGTGGTGACTGAAAGATCATAAAATATCATTGCAGTGGCCAGAAGCTATGTTGATATACACAAGCAAAAGATCAGGCTCTGCTCATGCAGTATTTTTTTTATTGCATATCCATGCTGTAACAGTGTGGATATAAACGAAGATCCCAGCTGATGTAAACTGGCAGACCTCATTTAAAGGCACTGGACCTCCTCTAAATGTCTCCCTATCTGCTAGTATAATTTATATGCTGTCACAACCTCTTGAACTTTCCCAGCTGAGTTCAGGCTTCCTGAAAAATAAGACATTGGGCGTTTTTTTATTATTACTCTTTGGAAAGAAAAGCCCTGAAGAAAGTCTTGAAAAACATTTTCCTAATCCAGATGTCACTGCCAGGTAATTACATAATTCAAATACTCCACATGTATAATTACATAAACAACATGCCAAAGTACATTCACTGAGACTATGTATTGATTGCATGTTTTAAAATGCTCTAGAAGTAGTCCTGGAAAAACAGATTATTAAATGAGAATGCCAGTGAATTTGGCTCAGGTCAAAAGCTGTTTGTAGCATCTGACCTCCGTGCTGTACAATATGCTACCCTGGCTGATATCTGAAATACATTTCCCAATTGTAGGTGTTTGGAAACGTGCTGTTTAGAATATTCATTGTAATATTCAAGGAAGAGGTTTGCAAAGTCACTTGGGGATTTAGGAATAGAAATTCCATTCATTTCCCATGGGACCTCTATTCCCTAAGCCTCTGTTTTGAAAAGCCACAGTTTCTGCCTTGGAATCAAAACAAGAGTATGGGTGTGTGCCCGCACAGATTCCTGCTAATCGTAATTGATTTTCTTCTTGCTGCTTGTAGATGTTTTTCCCTAAGGAACTTCAAAAACCTGTGGACAAGATGTTAGGCCTTCTGACACAAATGAAATATTTCAGACACCAGGTTGAATCTGGCGTGCATCCGCTGCTACAAGCTATTCATTCACTCAAAAAGCTCCGGCAGTCTAGAAATGTGCCTCTGTCTAAGGTATGTATAGTGTGGTTTTGCTTTGGAGACAATTTGCACAGAAATGTCATATCCTAGAGGCCAGAGATACATTAAAATCATGAGTTACTGGATCTATTTTAAAGCAGCAGTGTCCTCAGCTAAATTGCTAAATTCATCCAGTTCTCTATGTCCTCCTGCTCTGATCTGCAGTGAATGGCAGCCCAGGCAGCACTGATAATGGCTTTACCCAGTCATAGCAGGACCATATGTAGTCAGGGACAAATGGGGATAAGGGATATGTGTCATCTGTGTGACAAAATCTCTCTTGTAACCCAGGGGTATATAAGTGTTGCCAGGCACTTTCATTACACACATTGCAAGCAATTCCTGCATTGTATCTCATGCCTTGAAGTGAATTTCCTACATCCGTCATAGCAAAAGTTAGCCATAAAGGCATGTTTATGTTCAAGTAAGGGTACAAAAGAATATGCAGATAGTTTCAGGCTTTCCAAGGAAAGACCCTTGTTGTGTAGAGAGAACTTCTTATAAGAAGTAAAATGTAAATGTCTAAAAATATTTAATCCCTGCTTTCTAATAAGATTTCTCTAATTCTGCCATTCTTCCCTCCCCTCAGAATGGGATTCTTTTAAAATGGAGGATTTATTTACATTTTTTTTCTCTTCTACAGGCCATATCAAAATCAATCAACTTTAAGATAACACATGGAACATTTAATTCCATGTCAAAAGTTCTCTGCAACCAGGAGATCGCACCCCTGTTTTTTGAGTCTTTACTTCCTGATTTTGGAGACCCTGTAAGCAACAGTTCATCCATTGAGGATGTCTATGTCCAAAAATTGATGAGGAAATACGGGATTCCTCACGATTCCAGTAAGTTTGGCTTTACCTTGAGACAAAAACATTTTGGAACTAAAACCAAATATTTCTAGAGAGATTTAGCAGTAAACTGTTCCCCCGTATATCTCTGGAGAACTGGTGATTTATGCTAGGTGAGAATCTGCACTGCTCTGTGTGTTGGCGACTCTCATAAAAGTAAAAAGGAAAAAAGCATCTGTAGAGAAGCCATGTTTAATGCTGCACTGTTTCCCAAATGCTGATGATTTGGTTGTAGTGCTTGACAGGTCACTGCTTTTTCTTGATGTGTAGTTTTTCTGACTGGACTGAGATTATTAGCTCCTCTGAGTTCACAAAAACTCTATTTAACCATCAAACAGGGAATCTTGGCTTGAACAGTGACTCTTGATGACTTGCATTCAGCAACAGGAGAGGGGGTGGGTTACTTTTGTCAAGACCACATTACATCAGACAACAAGGAGGACTCTGAAGTAATTTGTGGGACACAGCAACAAACTGGGCGTGCAGGAAGAACCCACTGGTAGCTCTCGTGTGTCTGGTCTACTTGTGCTCTGTGCAATTTTTTGTTTTTCTCCTCTTGCAGCACCATTCTGTTTATCCTTTTACCTGGACTTGGTCAAGACCCCAACTGGAGCTTTAATTTGGTCTTTCTTAAAACCAATGGTGCTTGGGAAGATCCTTTATACACCAGATACTCCAGGAACTCGAGCAATCATGGAGAAGGTGTGATTCTGCTTATAGTACATCAGGACATACTCCCTCAAAGGGATTTTAATTCCGCCACTGTTCCATCCTTTGTAATTATGTAAATTTTACTGCCAAACAATTGCTGTTGGTCTGATATCCATAATAAGACTTTTCCTAAGGCCTTCAGTTTATGAAGTTTCATCCCAGTACTTTCAACCAGTAGTAGAGAGATATCTCCCAGAACAAATGCTAGCCAGCACTTGCTGGTAAGCAGGATAATGGTGGAAGGAAAACTGGCAACCAAGACTTGCTCTAGATATTGTGTATGAGCCTTGCATCCAATTTCAGCGTGCATTAAAGTGGCACTTAGCCAAACAGTGATGGGGTGCCAAGAAAAATCCTAAAGATACCAAATCTGGTCTTGGGTCTTTTTTCTCTTAAGCAATGAATAAACAGAACCTTATATGGTGTTTGTTTTTTTTTGTAGTCTAATACAACGCTGAAGCAGATGGCTGACCTATCGCTGAAGTCCCAGGAATGGCTGGACAAGTCTCCTGTCATCATGAATTCACTGACTAAGTTAAACGAAACAGTTCCAATTATCAAGGTACGAGAGTGTTGCCTCTCTTGGGCCTCTTGCAAGAGGGATTTGTGTGGATGATTTTCTTCACGGAAATAAATGGATGTTCCAGTGGTTTCAGGGAGGTCTTACTGTAGCTGGGAAAACCCTTCTCAGGCTTTTGTCCTTGAGTTCCCAGTTACCAGCCATGCCTGCTTGTTCCCTTAACAGAAATAATCCTGAAGCACCTTACCATGCAAATCCTCTTTCTGAAATGATTTGTCTGTAATATGTTCCCTGACACTTCGGCCATGCTGAGGCCTGCTGGAGGGCTGAGATGAGTGGGGAATGCTCTGCAGTTTGTAAATTAACTTTCTGCTTGATGGAGTGATCCAGTCAGCCAAGACCAGGCAAGAAATGACTTTTTCCGAAAATGAAAAAGTATCTATAATAAGCATATAGTTCTGGGTACACGAGAACTAGAAGATGTCTTTGTACCTCAGTGCATCTAAATAAAATTTCCTTTCCTCCCTCTAAGGAGCCTGTCTTTGCCTGGATGCAGAAAGCAGTAATGCTGTAGTGTCTCATGTACTTGCTTTGCATTCTCTAGCATAAGAAATGTCTGCTTTTCTCACAAGACTATGGTGGCTTTCTATAAAAATGAGATCTCTGGAACCCTAAAGCATTATAAGTTAATTTCAGTGGCTGGAACACGTTGCAATTTTCATAGCACAGCAAGGAAATCCAGGCTGGAATGTGTAAAAGTGAAATGAAATGCTCTCTGCTGCCTGCGTTTGTTTGTGGAATAACATACAACTGAAAAATCTGACAGCTGGTCTCCTAGCTACACGTTGGACCCCCTTCATTGCGTTCTGGCTGTGTTTACAGGACTGGAAGCAGACAGAAGGGACATTTACTAACAAAGATTTCAAACCCCAATTTTTTTTTCCATGGGAGTCTAATTTCTAGTGGTGTCAAAAGGTGTCATCTGTTGATTCCAAGAAACACTGCAAGTTATTTTCATTGCTAACATTTCCCTGTCATGATATACAGAGAATGAAAAATGGAAGGTCAAAGAAAGAGTAGGAGGAGGTTGTACAAATGCTCTGTGAAGGAAGCTGTTCTGTGTTACTTTAGAAATGCACTGAATAAGCTCACAGCTTTTGTGGTCAAACTCATGCTCTCTCTTTTTGCTTGTTGATAGAACGCCCTGCAGAATCCCTTTGTGCAGGTTTTTATCAAGCTCATGGTGGACTTGGATGCAGTTGACCTGCTGGATCAAATAAATGAGCTGGGTAAGTTGTTCCATGAATGCTGCCCTCCTGTTTGTACTCCAGACACTGGTAGTTCCATCCAACAGTCTCCATCCATCCTTGGATCCTCTTCCTGTGGCCAATATCTGATCTTTAGCACAAGGCAATCTCAGGTGACATTTAAAAACTTAGTAGCCTGTGGGCAAAGACTCCTAGAAAGCAAAGGACTTGCTTGAAAGGAAGTTGCTCCCAGACACTGCATCTCTGCAGCTGATCGTGGCCACTGGAGGACACTGTTTAGCTGTAATTATCACTTCAAATGAGCTATCTGGGACTGTGGTAGGAAATGGTGTAGAGTTCATTCACATCACCCTCAGGGTTTAGCTTAAAAGTTTCCCAGAGCAGAAAAGGAAGGGATCAAATAAAACAACACTGGCTGATCAAGTCAAGGACATTAAGAAAGATATTCTGCCAGAATCTCTTGTTCCTCAGCAGTCATGCACAGTGGGAGTTCCTGATGTGTGTTACGGGAGTCATCAGCTAACAGAGCTGATGGCAATGTGATCACAGCCCCTTCCCATTTCTTCAGTGGATGGTCGTACCTGTACATACAAATCTGGCTTATGCAAGTCCAATACAGTCAAAAGGAGAAAAACCTACTGTTTACAGTGAGCCCTGCCTATTAGTCATCTCACAAGTAGTACCTCTGTCTGCACTGCCAGTAAAATGATAGTCCCTGCAGCAGCTGTTCCAGATTAGTTACACTGCATTATGCAGTCACCTTTTAAAACAGGAAATGACAGTATCTTTATTAAGCTGCATTATCAGGTTTAGTACACACATCAGCACAACAGACCCAGCTTTTGCTTGATGTGCTTGGCGAAAGCACCTTCTCCCCTGAGACAGAGCAGATCAGCAGATGTGCTGATTGTATTGAAAGCCATTAGATGTGGAGTGAATGGTGAGCATCACATGCAAGTCTAAAAACTCAGCAAGTTAATAGCAAATTCTGATTTGGGATGGCTGTCACATTCCATTGCTGGCATGCTCCCAAGGGCAAACTCACGAGTATATTACAAGTGATTAACATAAAAATTGGGTCAACAACATGCCTTCATTGCCCTGCTAAGTGCAGAAATGTGTTTTATACTTAATGGATAGTATGATGCTTTTTTTTTCCCTTCCTGGTGTCATTGCTAATGTAAAGAGCAAAATGATTTGTTACTGCTTTTGTTGTGTGATGATGCTACTGAATTTTATTTTCCAGATAATATTCGATTGGAATTACAGAACAACGCTGGCATTGTCAATCAGTTGAATACATTAGCTCTGCTTGCTGTAAATGTGTCCTCCTGCGTCTCGTTTAATCGCATTCAAGCAGCCAGAAGCTTGGAGGAAATGGAAACAATGGCCAAAGAGCTCTTTTTGAAGAATGAACTTTTTGCAAGTATGTGACAATTTCAAGTTCTCCCGTAGTTTAGAGTCAGCCCAGGTATAGGGTGAGAGCGCATGAGGCTTGGCTTTCAATCAGTGACTGTCGTGGTCATGGCTCCAGACACACATCAGTGAGTCTTTGCCCAGTGGATGTGGCACCAGCACACTCGGATCTCCTTATGGCAGTGTTTTGCACTATCAGTTTTCTGTCTGCATGTTTTGTACTGTCACTGTTTGTATGGAAAGCCTTTAGTAGACTCATCTCTTCTCCAGATTAGTTCTCAGCAGAACAAAGTTTCAGTGCCCTTGGTAGATCTTCATAACAGAGCTGCCTTCTCTCAGGCCTCCCTCTAAAGGGAAAAAAGTGCTTTACTTCAGCAAGATTCAAGACTGTCCACTTTATTAGGAGTTCATAAACCTCTTTAGATGTTACAGCCAAACAAATCAGCTCTGCAGTGTCTCTTCACGGTCAAAGCTTTTACATTTTGTAGGAGTGGCTTGCAGCTGTATTTTTTTGTAAGTATGTATTATCTTGTCAGTTAGGATTTATTTACAAATCTTTTTACCCATTTGGTTTTGCATCTCATAATTCAAGTACTGACATAAACTTTTCCTTTTCTTCGGTCAGCAGACCGTGATAA